CACCTCCTCTTTGCCTTGCGTGTCACCTGCAGCTCCACTGGACATGCCTTCTTTTTTGGAAAAACCGTTATTGGGTTTCCTTGTGCTTCTTAAGTCTGTGTTTGTGTCTCCTTGTGATGGAAACTTCTTAGCTTCTGCTTCAGTCTACTGCATCCATACCATGTTGTCATTCCTCCTAATTCTGGTTGCTGGATGGAACCCTTCCTGTCCTGCCCCTGGTGTGTCACTTCCCTGTAGCTGCTCACACTGAACGATGGCTCAGAGGGACAGGGAAACAAACACCCGGGTCCCCTCCCTGCAGCGAGCCAAGGATGGAGTGTGTTGGCAGGACCTATAAGTGCCAAGAAGTGAAGTGATGGCACAGCCATTGTGTTCAGCATTTCAGCTGTGCCTGGGAGGAAGGAAATACAGGTTATGAGGTAGGAAATGCGAATTGTGTAATTTTGGGGATTCCATGTACAGATTAAATGCTCTTATATTTGCATTAAAACTGGCATCATGCAGCATAAATCTTATGCTAATTAAACATTTTTTCTTTACTCAAAACAACATTAAATAGCAAACAAAACACCATGACAATATAGGAAGGAGAGGGTGGGAGGCTGACTTATGTTGTAGCACTTGGGTCACTTCCAGCTGGTGTCTGGCTCTCTGCTTGCGCAGCTCCCAGCCTCTCAGCCCAGCACTTGGCCCAGTGCCTGCTGGAGACTGTGCAGGGCTGCCTGCCCAGCCTGCGCCACAATCACTCTGCCTGAACCTTCCCCCAGCTCCAGCTGCAGGGACGCTGGCCCTGCCTGGTGCTCCTCTCCGAGCACTGCTGCAGCCCAGGGCCCAGCCCCCTCGCACACCTGCTGCCTCCCCGGCCACGCCAGCTCTGTGCTGAACCTTGCTGGCTGCCGTGTCTCTGTCCTGTCCCTTCTGGCTGCCACTTGCGGTACTCGGCAGATGAGACTGGGACTCTGCCCTGGCTGCAGGCTCCTCTGAGTGCCGGTGTCCTCCAGTAACTGTAGGCGCACCCCTTCTCTTCCAGGCCCCATGGGTACCTTGCTTTCCAGGTGAAGCCACCCTCAGTGTCCCTCCCCAGCCTGCCTGGCTGCCCTGCTCTGTAGCTGGCCCCAGCTGCTCAGGCCCCCAGCCTAGGAGCCAGCCTGCCTCTCAGCATCCCCACAGTGGCCACTGGGGCTGGGAGGCCACCAGGGATCAGCGCCAGCCTTCAATACCAGGAATGGCCTTGTCGCTGGCCAGCTTCTGATTGGCCCCCACCTCCTGGCGCAGGTCTTCCCCAGCTCCGGGTCACACCCCTGCCGCAGCTCCTGCTCAGGACCGTCTCCCCTCTGCCTGGAAAGATGCTCCCCTGATGGCCGTGCCCTCCCCTCCACTCCTGTGGTGGGGAGGGTGGGACTCCCTCAGTCTCCACCTACTTCCAGCCCCTGCCCACTGCCCGTCTGCACCTCTTCACATTGTTCTCAGGACACTTAGGACCTGTTCAAAGTCATGCTATTCTTAATTCTTAAAATAATACTCTAATTATTTGTCTCTTGCCCACTCTGGGAGGGTGGGATGCACCTGCCGTCTCTAGGGTGGCCCTGGGGCGTGGTGAAGGAAGGACAGGGCTGTCCACATGCTCGATGTGGAGGCAGCTTGGTGGTGCAGCTCCTCACCTAGAACCAAGACGGGCAGAGTGCGAAACTGCGCATGTCAGCTGCTGGAAGCAAGCCAGGTGCACGACCAAGGCTGCACCCGCAGTGAAATCTAGCTTGCACACTTGTATCCACCCAGCATGCCTAACTGAACATCTCTGCAACCCTCGCTAAGAAATCATTATTTCCTTAGTTGAAATTAAAAGCATTTCGCAAATGAGAAGAAAACAAGTCCCTTGATATGTAATGGTGACTAAAGGCTGTTAAAGTGCAGTTTATTCAGTCTAAGCTAATTTTAACCTCACTGCTTAGCTTTTACACGGTGAACGGCCAAGGGCTGTGACACCGGGGGAGCAGGGCAGTCCAGTGGTTTGGGGACCGCTGAGCTGCCGTTCCATGGGCACGGGCCGGCCGGCCGGAGAAGCTGGGCACATGGAGGGCTCCCAGCCCAGCAGGAAGGCAGGAAGGGCAGGGGCGGAATGTGCCCCGGGCCGGGCAGGGGCACAGAGATGCAGCTGGAGCAGCTGGGGGCTCTGACAGCTGCGGAGACTCGGGGTGGCAGGCGCCAGGCAGGAGTGTGCCAGGCTGAGGGTGACGGCGGGGCAGGATGTGCACCTGCCAGTCATCAGAGGCCAGGCCGCCTCCAGCTGTCCTCTAACGTCCACGTCGCCTCCTCTGGGCCCCAGCCTGGCCAGCTCACCTCATCTGGGGGCCTTGCGCCAACCTTTCTTCTTGCTGCTTTCCTGTGGCATTGCCCTGGCCAGCCAAGCTCGCGTACTCAGGCCCATGAATGACTCCTGTTTTTCCGTCTCCATGACCTTTCTGCACGAGTGCGTTCTGAGGACCGTGCGCCCTGCGAGCCTGGGCTGCGGTGGGCGCTGGCGCTCAGCTCTCACGGAGTGCCCCTGGCCCCTGCTTTGGGCGCCCGTGCTCAAGGACTGAGTAGGATATCCTTGTGGGGAGTTGAACCAGCGAGGCCTGTGTGGCATGATTTTGAAATTATTTCCAGTGCCAAGATTCTGTAAAGCATTGGTGTTTAGCTTTTAACACTGACATTAGCTTGTTAGTAAACATACTGAAAATCCTTCAGTGTATATTTATGGCAAATTTCTAAAAGTGAACTGGGTGGCAGTCCGTGCTCTTAAAGCTTTAAGTACACAAAAGCTGGCAAGGGTAATGTTTTGAAAAGTTAACTCAACATGTATTTACTGAGTACCTATCGTGACTAATTCAAATTAATTCAAATCAGTTTATTGTGGAGCGACTGTTAGATATTTCTTAAATGTCGCATTCCGAGGCGTTCAGCATCCTCGTTTACTCCCTGGCTGTTATGCGGGTCAGATGCCCTCAGTGATTGCAAGGGAAAAATCTGCACAAAAAAATGGTTTGAAACCAATGGTTAATATTATTAATTCTACACTCAAAATACAAAAAATTTCAACTTTATAAAGAATGGATGTCTTTGTGAATTTTTCTTTTTAAGACCCCTATTTCAGATATCTGATAAATTAAGTAACTAAGAGTTCAGGTTATTGATATGTAAAGCAATTACTGGTCATTTACAAGTGACATACCAGCTAAACATTAAAAAAAAGGTAACCAAGCTGCCCAGGTGAACTTTGTCTGCAAGGAGGCCCTTTAGGGTGATCCATCTTATGTCAGCAAATTGCTTGCTAATGTGTTGACTTATGGCCACCCTCAAAAGCAAAATGAAAAGCCTGGAATTTACAGCATATCAGTGAATCAGTTGATAAGCTTTTACTGGTTTAATATCCTCCCAGCCTTGCTGCTTGGAGCCACTTGAAGTTAGCAACAGAATGTTTGCCATCTCCATGTGATAAAGGGAAGTCAGAGGACTAAACACACTTTGAGACCATTATGCTGTTTGGCGAGATGTGAGTGGGAAAGGCGAGGGGAATCTCAGGCAGGAGGGCGTGGGGGCAGGCAGCCTCTGAAGTCAACCAGGGCATCTGACAAATCACTAGCCTCCCTCCTTAAACAATGGGCAGAACTTTCAGTGTGGGTGGAGATAATATAATGCATTTGAAAAGTTTTAATTGCAGCCATAAAAGACCATACCTCAACTATATGACACCCACTGGCAGAATTTCTAGATAAGGATCAAAGGCATTCAAGGACCAACCACTGCATTCTGGGCAGCGCTTGGCCTTTCCGCACACAGTGGTGACAGGTCTGAGCACCCAGCCGCCGTGACCTCCCCTGCGGCTTTGATCTGAGCCCATAGGACCTGAGGCAGGGCAGCCCGGGACTACCATCATCCCCGACTGCTCGGGGCCTCCTGGACGCAGGCACCGCTTCCCAAGGCCCACCCCCTGGCACTCACTCACAGGGACAGAAACACCCGACCCGCTCTGTCTTACCACAGAGCTGCTGCATCTAACAGGACCTGCGCTGAAGGCGACACCCCTCTGCTCCGGTTTGGCCTTGTCAGGAACGTGCCAATGGCAACCTAAAGCGAGGCCAGTCTCCAATAGGGGATTCTCTCTGTGTGGAAGCATCACTGTTTGCAGAAAGGTGACCTCTGTGTTTTTTTAATTGTTTGATACCCAATAGATGCATGAGAACTTAAGTAAGAAAAGGCAATCAACTCACTGTGATAGAGGAGCGAAAACACAAGGCCACGGTTCTTTTTCACCAGACAGATTCATTTATAAAAATAGAACGGCCTGAGCTAATCTAATCTAGACTATCAAAAACATATCCATCTTGGTGAGATCTTGAAAGTTTAGAGGAAACAAGTGCTTCCTAATTTATTGTGCCTAAAAATATCACTGTTACCCCTCAGTGCCCTTCTTTCCTACTGATTAAGACTTGTTTTTCCTTGAAGGTGGCTTATCATTGGTCTAAGTAACAGCACAGAAGTTTTCACTCATCCACCAGCAAAGGAAAAAAGTAAATTTAGTGGAGCGAAATTTTTATACAGCTAAATGTGGTCAGTGTGGGGGAATACCCTGAGTACTAATGAGAGGATTCCGACGGTATATGGGGTGTTCTTTTAACTCTTACTTGGCAAAACAGTTTTCTAAAGTTGGCAGCGGCTTTGGAGCCCCAAATTTCTCTTTGACAGTTCTGTAGACTCACAACATCTGGAAACCTTTAAAAAAGAACTGAACGGGTTTGGAGAGAAAACCCATTGCAACTTCCCTGATCTCACAGATGGAGGCGGTAGAGGTGGCATCCGTCTGTCTGATTTTGGACTGTCTCTCAGGATCTCTTTCTCCTAGTAATATAAAATCTCAATTTTTTAGACTAAAACCAAAAAAATTTGCATTTATTTAACATTCACTAATGGTCAGAGTGGAGGTACAGCTTAGAAATGTAGGTGGTTGTTACATATCACCCCAGATGAAAGAGCTATTGTTCCATAATTAAGAATTTATCATATCCAATACTGTTAATTGCTGCACATCTAAAATTGTCTTAAAACTCTAGTAATTCATTGATGTAAAGTTCAGTGCACATTTAGGCTGTGGTGAGGGTGCTGGGTAACCAGGCAGGTGGACAGACCCAATGTCAAGAGGCTTGAAAGGCCTCTGTGGGGAAAACTGGCATTTCTGGAGTGTCTCTATTACAAAGCTAGTCTCCCACCTAGAGGAGCCTTCATAAAGTCATTTTCCTTTTGGCTTTGGAATTTGTTTTTTTAATGGATGTATTCCTAGGAAACCTATAGCTACTGATTCTTTTCAAGCTGGACTTTAGTCTCCACGTTCAGTTCTGAAAAACTGGAAGGATGAATATAACAGGAAACCAAGACCAGGAATTATGTTTTTATTTAAGTATCTTAGTCTGTGATTTCTGGATCTTAAAGCCTCATTTTACTGACAACCTTATGTTAAAATATTTTCACAGGTATTTAAAGGAAAACAATCAGTTTAGACTTTTTAAACTGAAACAGGTTTGGTTCTTGGTGAAAATAATACAATTGTTTCTATCATTAGAAAAATGCTATTTAATTATTTTTGTAAAATATAGTTTATGCTACTGAACTAATCTGGCCAGTGAGCATTTCTTTACTAACTTGGGGTGCATGGTCATTCTTAATGGCTAACATCTGTTATTAGTCTGTTCCGGTTTCAAACTGTAAAGTACTTAATTCTGCTCACATGATTACATCTTCAAAAAATCACAGTAGTTGGAACGCGTAAATTTTAATGTATGTATAAGCAAATATTCCATTGTCACTACAAATTCAAATAAAGATGATTATTTTGCCTTGTCAACAAGGACAAATTACCATCAATTGTATTCTTGTGTGTTTTTCCCTACAGACCTGCCTGAGCCTTCTGGGAGCAGTGCCCACACGCAGGGCGTGTCCGCCTGCATGGACCAGAGCCACGGGTCCCCCTCGGACGCTCCCCGACTCTCAGAATTCTTCTAGGGTCCGACAACATGGAGGCAGAGAGCAGACCTGGGAAGTGGTCTGTATTGCATTCTATTATTTATTCATTTAAAAACTATTTTAATCCTTTAAAATTAATTCATGTGTAACTTCTTTGGTGATAGTGTCTTTTTCCCCCCTTTACATGAATGCCTACATTTCCTCAGTCTTTTCTTCACTGATCTGAAATGTCTCCTTCAGTCTACACTAAGAATCCCCTTATACCAAGATGTGTGTTTCTACTGTTTCTTCAACTGTTCATCTATTATTTGTAAGAATCTTAAGTTACCAAATTTATATATATTTTGACATTTGCCAAAGGTGTTCTCATTAATTTTTCTTTTAAAAAAATTATTAGCTCTTCATACTCCCCTAGATAAATTTCAGAATTAATCTGTAAATGCACAGTCAATCCTATGCCTTTGGAAGTTAGAAATTATGGTAAATTTATGTGATAGGAAAATTGACATTTCTACTCATCTTAAATGACCTGTTATTTTATTCACGTCTTTATTTCATCAGAAAAAAAATTTTGATTACAATTATTTTTTCCCAACTTTATTAAGATATAATTGATGTATGACACTGTAAGTTTAAGGTGTATGATGTGATGATTTGATACACTTTTATATTGCAGAATGATTACACAGTAGGGTTAGTGAACACTTCCATCATCTCAATTACCATTTTTCTCTTGTGGTGAGAAGATTTATTATTTATTTTCTTAGCTACTTTCAAGTATATAATACAGCAGTGTTAACTGTAGTCACCTTGCTGTACATTAGATCCCAGCACTTCTCCATCTTGTAACTGGCAGTTTGTACCCTTTGAGCAAACATATCCTGATCTGCGCCCCAAAACTCCCAGCTCCTGGCAGTCCTCATTGTACTGTGTCTGCAAGTTTGACTTTTTTCGATTTAACAAGTAAGTGATATTATATGGTATTTGTTTCCTTCTGTCTGATTTATTTCACTTAGTATAATACCCTCAAGGTCCATCCATATTGTTGCAAATCGCAGGATTTCTTTCTTCCTTGTGGGTGAGTAATATTCCATTTCACATACATACCATTCACCTGTAGATGCACACCTGAGTTGTGTCCATGTCTTGGCTGCTGTGAATAATGCTGCAGTGAATGTGAGGGTGCAGATACATTCTTGAGATCTTGATTGTATTTCCTTTGGATATATACCCAGGAGTTGAACTGCTGGGTAATATGGTAGTTCTGGTTTTAATTTTTTGAGGAATCTCCATAGTGGCTGCAGCACTTTACATTCCCCACAACAGTGCCCAAGGATTCCCTTTCCTCCACATCCTCACCAACACCTGTTACTTCTCATCTTTTTGATAACAACCATTCTAATTGGTGTGGGGTGGTATCTCGCTGTGGTTTTGATTTTCATTTCCCTGATGAGCAGTGATGCTGAGCACCCTTTCATGTGCCTGCTGGCCTTCTCAATGTCTTTAGAAAAATGTCTGTTCAGCTCCTCTGCCCATTTTAAGACCAGACAGTTAGTGTCTTTGTGTGTGTGGGTGGCTATTAAGTTGCACAAATTCCTTATATTTTTTTGTATATTAGCTCTTTATCAGATAGACGATTTGCAAATATTTTCCCCTGTTCTGTAGGTTGCCTATTTTGTTGATTGTTTCCTTTGCTGTGCAGAAGCTTTTTAGTTTTAGGTAATCCTACTTAATTATTTTTGCTTTTGTTGCTTGTACTTTTGGTGTTGTATCCGAAAATTGTTGCCAAGACCAATGTCAAGGAGAGTTTCCCCTATGTTTTCTTCTAGGAGTTTTGTGGCTTCAGTTCTTAAGTTTTCAATCCATTTTGAGTTAGTTTTTGTTATATTGTCTTGATGAATTGACCCCCTTATATAAAGACCTTCTTTGTTTCTTGTTACAGCTTTTGAGTCAGTCTGTTTTGTCTGATAGAAGTATAGCTATTTCTGTTCTCTTCTGGTTTCCACCTGCATGGAGTATCTTTCTCTGCCCCTTCACGTTAAGCCTGTATGTGCGCTTAAAGCTGACGTGAGTCTCTTGTAGGCTGTGCTGCATACGTTGGATCTTAATTTTTTATTCATCCAATCATTGTACTGGTAGTTCTGGTTTTAATTTTTTGAGGAATCTCCATAGTGGCTGCAGCACTTTACATTCCCCACAACAGTGCCCAAGGATTCCCTTTCCTCCACATCCTCACCAACACCTGTTACTTCTCATCTTTTTGATAACAACCATTCTAATTGGTGTGGGGTGGTATCTCGCTGTGGTTTTGATTTTCATTTCCCTGATGAGCAGTGATGCTGAGCACCCTTTCATGTGCCTGCTGGCCTTCTCAATGTCTTTAGAAAAATGTCTGTTCAGCTCCTCTGCCCATTTTAAGACCAGACAGTTAGTGTCTTTGTGTGTGTGGGTGGCTATTAAGTTGCACAAATTCCTTATATTTTTTTGTATATTAGCTCTTTATCAGATAGACGATTTGCAAATATTTTCCCCTGTTCTGTAGGTTGCCTATTTTGTTGATTGTTTCCTTTGCTGTGCAGAAGCTTTTTAGTTTTAGGTAATCCTACTTAATTATTTTTGCTTTTGTTGCTTGTACTTTTGGTGTTGTATCCGAAAATTGTTGCCAAGACCAATGTCAAGGAGAGTTTCCCCTATGTTTTCTTCTAGGAGTTTTGTGGCTTCAGTTCTTAAGTTTTCAATCCATTTTGAGTTAGTTTTTGTTATATTGTCTTGATGAATTGACCCCCTTATATAAAGACCTTCTTTGTTTCTTGTTACAGCTTTTGAGTCAGTCTGTTTTGTCTGATAGAAGTATAGCTATTTCTGTTCTCTTCTGGTTTCCACCTGCATGGAGTATCTTTCTCTGCCCCTTCACGTTAAGCCTGTATGTGCGCTTAAAGCTGACGTGAGTCTCTTGTAGGCTGTGCTGCATACGTTGGATCTTAATTTTTTATTCATCCAATCATTGTACACCTTCTGACTGGAGAAATCAACCCACTTCCAACAAGAGCAATGACTGGCAGGCAAGGGCTCAGCGATGCGTCCTCCTGCTTTCTGGCTGCGTTACGCGCCCCTGTTCTCACCCTCTTCTCTTGCTGTCTCCCTTGTGGATCGATCTCCCAGAGTGGGACGATCTGACTCCCTTCTCTTTATTTTGAGTATCTACGGTAGGGTTTTGACTTGTGGTTGCCATGGGGCTTACATAAAACTTCATATAAGCATAACCATGTATGTTACACTGATAACAACTGAACTTTGCATCACACAAAAACTCTACCCTTTTACTCCCCCCTTTTATGTTTTTGATATCACAATCCACATTTTTTATACTGTGTAGTCACTAAATTATTGTAGTCTTATAGTTGACCCTTCATCAACCCGGGTTTGAACTGCATGGGTCCACTGTGTGTGTCTGGGAAGTCTTTTACTCGCCCTCACTTCTCAACGACACATTTGCTGGATAAGGTTTTGGCTGGCAGTTTTTTCTCCTTCAGCACTTTGAACACATCATTCGGTTCTCTCCTGCCTAGTAAGAATTCCCTTGTATGTGAGGATTTATTTTTTCTCTTGCTGCATTTAAGAATCTTTGTCTTTAGTTAGTTTTGGACAGTTTTATTATAATGTGTCTTGGAGAAAAGCTCTTTAAATTGATTTCATTTTATGAGCTTCAGAATTGGATACCCAAATCTCTTCCTGATTTAGGAAGTTTTCAGACATTATTTCTTTAGATAAGGTTTCTGCCTCCCATCTTCTTCTAAGACTCTAATAATTCACAGGTTCTTTCTTTTGATAGTATCATATGCTTTCTTCTACCATTTCTCATTCCTTTTTCTTCTTTCTCCTCTGGATAGTTTCAAAGTTTCTGTCTTCTAATTCACACATTCTTCCTTCTGCTTGATCGAATCTGACGTTGTTGCTTTCTATGGAATCTTTCATTTCCCTCATTGAATTCTTCACCTCCAGAACTTATTTGGTTATTATTATTTCTATCTCTCTGTTAAACTTCTTGTTTTGTGTATTGTCTTCCTGATTTTGTCAAATGGTTTTTCTGTGTTTTGTTGTAGTTTATTGAGCTTCCTTAAAACATCTTATTTTGAATTGTGCACCAGGTAAGGCACAAGTCTTCATGTCTTTGGGGTTGGTTCCTGGGCAATCCCTGTGACCCTCTGCAGTGAACCATGTCTCCTTGGTTCTCGTGCTCCCTGAAGTCTTGCATTGCTGTCCTTGCACATCAAGTGGCAGTCACTTCCTCCAGTCTTCGCTGACTGACTTCAGGAAAGAAATACCTTCCATCAGCTCTAATAGGGACTCCGAGGCTTTCTCAGACCTTCATCAGATAAACCTGCTCCCTTTCACAGCCGAAAGCCGTCTCTTGATCCCGTATTGCATGAGGCGGGATGCTGACAGCGTCCTTTTGGCTTTCCCAGGAGTGAAGCTGAAACTCAAGTTTGTGGTCCCTTCCTGCCCTGAAGATTGGAGCCAGCTCTCGGCACGTGTTCACTAGCGTCTGCCCAAGCTTGCCCTCGTCATCAGGAGTGCACACATGCATCTGGCCACAGGACTTGGGTGAGGGGCATGGAGTGCTAGGTGCCACTTGGGGAATCTGCAAGTGAGGCATCCCCCGGGGCTTATGGGTGGGCTTCTTGATGGGGTCTGCAGCAGTCAGTAGGACCCACAACCCTTTAATGCCCTCTGAGAGTCTGTGGTGCTCTTCCAGCAGCTCAGGCCTTCGGGCATGCAGCTCATGACTCAGTACCCCGGAGAGAGTGAGAGAAGGCTGAGCCTCTTTGATTGTGACCTGCACAGCTGGAGAAGCTGGGTGTCACTCACACATTCTCACTTTCCCTGCAGGAAAAGTAACAGGTGAGAAGCCCTTGGCTCTGGCCTGTGTTTCCTTGAGGGGTAGGGTGATGTGGGTGAAGTCAGACCGCTCCTCTCACCCTCTCCAGTGTGTCCTAACTGTATATTTGTTTGTTCTAGTGGTGTGCTGGAACTTCTCTGGAAACCTGGACTTCCACAAACGCTCTGTTACCCATGGGTGACTGTCTAAAGCTGTGTCATCCAGGGGCTCCCAGACTGTGGCTGAGGGGCCAGAGCAGGTTCACGGGCCACTGCAGGGTCCACAGCCAGGAGCCAGGCACATGGGTGGCCTGAGACTCCTTCCAGGCCCCTTGGCATATGGTGCTGGATCCCGTTCCCACAAAGGCACTCTTTTCTGTGGACGGATACCAAACTGTTGTTGCTGGGGGGTGGGGGGTGGGAATGAGGGCACTATGTTGCTGACATGACCTGCAGAACATTTTTTTTTATCAGTACTTGTACATTCATTGTTAAAATGTATTTTTAGGTATTATGAGAGGGATCCTTTTCCATCGAATATCTCATTATTGTTGCCGTACAGGAAACAATTACTGCATGTTTATCTTCAAGTTGAACATCTTCTGATAGTTCTAATAATTTTTAAATGATTTCAAAGATCCTAAATCTGTATCTAGATTGTATTGGCAAGGATTGGCCAAAGTGAGATGATAGTGGGTAGCCTATTTTACATTTTTAGGGTTTCATTATCTAAAATAATGTGTTTTTAGTTTGATGTGCAGTCTTTATTGTGACAAGGAATTTTGAGCTCCAGTTGGCTGATTGTCACTTCTAGGAATGTATGTTAAATCTGACATCTTTTCAGTAAAGACAGAGATGCTTTAATTTTTCTCAGTCATTTTATATTATATATTTCTTTCCATGTTTGCTATTATTATAGGAAGTAACTTCAATTATATTTTCAGATTTAACAGCATGAAGTTATATAAAATAGTCATTTAATTTTTAAAATAATTCCCACATATCTGATTATTCCTCCCATTCTGTTGGCCTGTATTCTGCTTTGTCTAATCTGTTTTGACCTGTGTGAGACTTGACCTTGTAGTTGTTTTTTTAGATTCTCATATTCATCTCAGTTTCTTTGCCAGTTTTATTTTTTTGTAATAAAGTACTTCTCTTTTATCTACTTCCTACATTAAAAAAAGTGTTGTTTACATAGCTTTCTGATTTGAATGGCTCACTTTTCATCTTTCTCATTCAATAAGTGTACTTACTACTAATTGTCATCTATGTACAACTTTAGATACATAACACAGAATACTAGTGTTCTCACTGTCATGAACACCAGAATAGTGTATACTTTAGATTCTTAATTTTCAAATACATTTCAATGTTCATTTATTTTATTGTGACTTTCTACTTTATTTCATTTTTTGCATTTGCCTCATTTATTTTTGAGCATGCCTTTACATAGAACATTTTTGTCTCATTTGATTCAAATGTCTCATTAGCACCTATTGGTGGACTTCTTTCAGTGTAATTTGAGAGTTTGTTGTTTAATAGGGGAATTTATTTCAGTCATGTTTGTTATGGTTACTGTTATATTTTAGTCCTGTCATCTAATCTTTTCTACTCATTATCCTCTCTTGTTGCCTTTTCCTGACTTCTGCTGGTTCTGAATCACCACCTACATACACCTCTGCCTTGGTCTTTATAATTGCTGTGTCACCATCACTGAATGGATGTTTCCTTGGTGGTAAACTCTGGTTATTTATGATTCTTCTCTTTTATAATCACTGCTATAGTGAACGTACTCATGAATGTATCTTGGCAAACAATTTTGAGTATATCTGTTGGGTAAATTTTAGAGGAGGGATTAAGGGTAACCGTCAGCCAGACAGGCTGCACATTTTTTAGTTCTCCTGGTGGCTTATAAGAATGTCCGTCCCACTCATTCTCATCAGCTCTAGAGAGTTATCACACGACTTTTCAATTCTTGCCAATTATTAGTGAAAGTGTCTTATTTTTGTTTTATTTTAGTTTTCTTTAATTGTAAGTAAGGCTGAACTATACAGAAACCATACATCTATAGTCCTTTTGTAAGCTACTTGTCATATATTAAGGAAATTGCTTCTAATCCTTTGAGTTGTAGGTATGTTTTCCTGATATGTCATTGATCTTATATTTTTTCTCCCTATATGTAAGTTTTGAAGTTTTATGTAGTTATCAGTGAGTTCCTTTATGGTTTGTGTGTGTGGAAAATCTTACTAGAAAGGTCTTTCCCACTTCCAGGTCATACATTTATTTTATAATGCAGTCTTCTAAAATAATTATGCTCCAGGTTTTATGTTTAACTCTTTGTTCCATATGGAATATAAGGAGTTAGTCCCATTTTCTTTATATCCTCTCCTCCTTTTCTCTTATTCTCTTTCCTTCTTGTTCTTGGCCCAAGCCTGACTCTTGGGGTTCAGGAACTGTGCAGTCTAGTCTACACTGCTAGAGACTATGTTTAGTTAACATTTCACCGCATTTGTATTCTCTCTTCTGTAGGTACATTTGTACGTGTGAGCGTGTCATCCACTTCAGGGTCTGCTGCGAGCGTCACAGCACCACTCCCAAGTCCTTCGGCATCTGTCCCAAGGACCAGGACACGTTGTGTGCTGGTGACCAGGAGCAGCCCACGGGGACTCACACTGGCGCATTCCTGCTGCATGACAGATGATCCGTATTCACATTCCCAAGTATGTTAATTATAGCACTTGCTTTAGTTTTAGTTTTGCTTCAGGATCCTATCAAAAGCTCTCATTACATTTAAATGTTATATTTTGAAAGATTCTTCACATTTCCCAGCCATTTTTTTTTTCTTTTTGACAATGACATTTTATAGTCGAAGCCTACTTTATAGAATACTCCTCATTTTGGGTATACCTGATTACATGTTTTGTCATGATTGGGGTGAGGTTAAGTGTTTTGGGCATGAAAATGCACCGGTGACATTTTGTCCCCATGCCCCATAACACTAGGGGCACATGGTGCCGATTTGTCCCACTAGTGGTGATTTCGCTCACTGGGTTCAGGAGATGTCTGCCAGACCCTCCCAATGTAACACCTTCTCATTCTCTTTGTGAAGAAGAAGCCGTCTGTGGGGTGATACTGTGAGAATGTGTGAATATCTTACTCTTCAACAATCTTTCACCTGGTAGTTTATAGTCATTTCATTGTTGACATAAGTTCTCAAACTATGCATTTATAGAATCCTGGGTCATGTGAAATTCAAAAGCCTAGTCTTCAGATTCCACTGAAACACACCTGCATTTTAGAATTGTAGCTTTATGTTTCTTAGACCATGCCTACAGCTCAGCAGTGAGTTCCATCAAGTTGCAAAATGTAGGAAAAGATCATCAAATTTCAAGTTACTCAATGAATGACTAGGAAGTGGTCTGTGTCATTAAGAACAGCCTCTGGGCTCTTACACACAGGCGTTCAAGCACAGAGTGGCCCCTGGTATCCAGTTTTACCTCCCAGAGTCTCAGGTACTTGCTGTCGGCTTCAGCCTGGAGCCAGGTGACCTCCTCCTCACCTCTGGTCAGGCCAGAAGCAGCCTAACGCTACGTCACGGCACCCACGTCACTCACCTCACTCCATCTCATCACGTGGGCACTTTATCATCTTACATCACAAGAAGGGTGAGTTCAGTACAATAAGATATTTTCTTGATTAAACCTGAGGCACAGTGACAGCACAATAAGCCCACATTCTGGTTCTCTTTTGCAGGCACTGAAACGGGGTTCCTTCGAACAACTCCCTACGCGATCAGGAAGCCTGGGAAGGCACGTGTCCCTGCGGCTGGGAAGCCCGGCCTCAAACCCCCGGTTTTCAGAATTCCTGTGCGGCCTGTCACTTTGAGGAAGCCTCTCGCCCTGGGCATGAGGCGGGTGGCATGGCTGTGAGAGGCAGTGAGGGCACTGAGGAGCACCCCCTAAGGAGGCTGGCCAGGAACCAGGCAGAGCCACGAAGCCCTGGGGCACACACCAGCCCCTCTGCACCCCATGGGAGTGCGGCTGAGAAACAAGTGGGAAGACGCAGGGGACGCGTCCAGTGGTAATGGTTCCAGGGGTGTGACTGTGAGCAGCTCTGTCTTAGTGACCCGAAGCGGGGTGTTTGTCAGAACACCATACTTTTACAGACTGCTATAAAAAAAGACGGAGTTTCACTCAATCTAAAACAACACACAGAATGACTTGAACAATATCAACACTTACAGTTATACATTTAGGCCTTTATAAATACTACTGTAACTCTTGGAGCAGCTCGGTGAGCCAGAGGTGACTGCTTCTGCTCCCCAGACGAGGAAATGAGGCTCAGTGGCCGCTTTCTGCCAGAAGCCTCGAGGCTGACAGGCAGGGTGGGGGCAGGAACTGGGGTCAGCAGGCCCCTCCCACCCTCCCACCCTGTCCTTTTTGCGTGGGGTACATACAGCACAGGGAGATCGTGAGACAAGCCAAGAAGAGTAAACATAAAAGAAAAATGATTGAAAGGGTACAAACTGAAGTTATGCTCCCATTTTCCTGACCCCCTGAGGCTCCCAGAGGCCTCAGTAAAGCTATGGCCCTGTGGGGGCTTTATTTTTTAGAAAGTTCTTTCTACTTTTTTACTTGCAGCTAAGGGGGTATGAAAAGCTTAAGTTTGTTTCCATTCTGTTATCTAAAGAGAAGTTTTTTTAAGCAATTATCACAGGATGGTCAAACCAAAGTTGCTTTGAACTCAACCTTATTCCAATTTTATGAATTGTACGATTTAACTAGAAAAGACAATCGATAAGTATTTCACCATCAGGTTAGGTTGGTAAGTCACTTTAACTTGAACACGATTTTGGGCAGCATCTCAACTGTCTGAACAGCGCCCGCGGCCTCCGGCCAGCACAGGGACCGCCTGGAGAGCCAGGGCTGCTCGCTTACCTTTTCTTCAAAGAACTTCCCCCTCAGCTTGGCCTCTGCGGGAGGCACGGCTCTCCTCAGGTCTCGGTACCACTTCCTCACCACGTGTCCCCTCCAGCAGGCCTGGACCCTGGGGGGCAGGTGTTGGGAAGTGCTGTCTCAGGACTGGCTCCAACCCAGCATCTCAGAGCCCACCACGCGCCCGCATTGGGTGGGGCCCCGGGAGAGCGTGGCCGGGAGGCGAACCCCTGTCTTTCAGAGTAAGTCAGCACGGCTCAGCCTCCAAAGGACCCTCAGACGCTGCGAGCAGGCAGGGGTCCCGAGTGGGCTCTGAGGCCCCGTGGGGGGGCCCTTCCTACCTTGTTGCACACTTCATTTTGAATAGCCGGGCCCCATCGTGAATCACCCTGGTTTGATACTGGTATTTTCTACAGAGAGGACAGGTTTTTTTATCTGTGAACTTCTCAAAAGCCTGAAGGCATGCCTGAAGAAAAACATATCACTTAAAATTTTATGAGTAATTACCTATCAACAACAGTTTTACTTCTAATATAATTATAGTGTTCTTTTCTCTCATAATTAGGAGACTTAGTCTAACTTAGATTAAGAAGTTTCATCAGATGTTAACACCTTCTCATGAAACGTGTTCCCAAAATGGTATTTTACAAGAATACACATGCAGACACATCAAAACCGTGGAAGAGCTCGTGTAAAGGTGGTCCCTGCCTGCGAAGGCTGCCGTGCCGCCCAGCCACGGGGGGCAGGCGGCCCTGCGCTTTGATGTTCGCGGCTAACAACAGTTGTTACACAAACACTGTGGTTCCCTTGTCACGTAAAATTCACGACTGTCAAAACAGGATGAGCCGTGCTGTAGCCTGAAGTCCTATTTCTAACTGTAAATGGTGATTATGGATAAAATCACGGCTCTTTTTAGGGCACCGCAATGAGCAAGACCCGGCCCCCCACCCCGCGGGGAGGAAGGCGGCAGGCCTGGCGGGAGGGCAGCAGGCTTACTCACCCTGTGGAACACGTGGGAGCAGGAGAGCAGCACCTGTACGTGGGCACACAGAGGCGTGAGCTCGTTAGTTCACAGGAGTGCAAATGCGGTCTGATTAGAGGGAAAGTCTGAGTGCCTGAGGTATGGCGTTTCTTTGAAGAATTGAAAAAGCATATTAATAACCTTGATATTTATAATATCTTGATGTTTAAATTTAACACAGCACAGATACATAATCTCAATAAGAAAGGCTAAGTTAACAGTCTGCAGCATCAGCCACACGTGAAGTTGGTGCTTAAAATTAAAATGACTGTAAAAATGAAACAGTTGTGTTTTCTGGGCAGATACTAAAAGAAAATGCAAACTGGAGGGGAGAGGAGGGCCGGGGGGAGCCGAGAAAGGTGAGCAAATACCTTTTTTGGAGGGCTTTGTTCAACTAAATTGCACTCCTAAATTTTTAAAAAATCAGTTTTATATAATTCTGACACTCCTAAATTTAAATAGCAATAAATCCTAGAGACATGAGACTCACTTTTGCTTTTTGCTTTTTTAAATGCAGGGAAAGTGTGCTCACAAGAAAATTTCACCTTCTGTGACCCAAATGCCCCACTAAATAGTGGTATTCTGGGCTGTGACAAGACAGAAGCCGAGACCGAGTAAGGAGAAAGGTAGGTGGTCGTTCGGGCGGGAGAGCCGAGGAGGGCAAGGCCGGGGCCGGCGGCCAGGAACTGCGCGGCAGGCAGAGGGGACGGCCACGGGCGCGGGGGCGCCTCGGCAGCGGGGTCCCCAGCATGCCGGCCGCCGGCTCCCGGTGAAACGCTCGGGTTCTTGACGTTACCACCCCTGCCTTTGTTCAGTCCACACTTTTCTTCTCTAGTGGAGGGAATGGAAGGAATATTACAATAACAGAACTCAGAACGTTCTAAAACCTTTCCTTGAAACTTACTGGAAACAGTAATATGGGTCCCTATTATTGCCATTTAATCTTAATAGCAATGTTTGTGTGCTCAGTTACTCATTATCTATAGAATAATCTTTCAGAGTGTTTTATCAACAGGTTTGATGGTCTATATTGAGTAACATTGTACTTATATTTAAAATGTACTTTTAAATGTCCATAAATACTTGTTATCGGCAATTATTCTCTGAGTAAACAAAAGGAAATGAATAGGTGGTGGTAAATAACACTAAAAATGTCCTAAAAGTTACGATTAGATTCTAGCTAGACTTCACACTTCCTGAGTTGGCCTGCTGTGGATCACTTGAATTACTTATTTCCTCATCTGTTCATTATAATGTTGATCTCAGTGATACAGGAGATTAACAAAGCCCTCTGAAATCATTAAATGTTGCCGAAATGCCAACTACTGTTTATAATTAAGGGAAAACCTAAACGTGAGAACAAGAACTAGAAACACACAAATAAATACAAGTGTCTATATCTATAATCAACAAAAATAGAGAATTCAGTGAGAAATTTATACAAAACACAAGGGAAGAAGTGATCGACGTGATGTATCCTGATCACCCCCTTAAGGTAGCTGCTGACTGTTTCATTCTTTGTGCAACAATCAGGCTAAGTATTTAGGGCATAAAAAGAAAGGTTCCTGGGGCTGGGATGACTTGTGGCTTTAGTAACTCTTTCACTGCACTAACATACTAAATTGTCCTAGGTGATAATTCTGTGCTTTAAGGGCTAAAATCTTTTACATATCTAAGACTAGGTCCTGATCGAGAAGTCGAATAATAAGTATGTTTAAAATAACTCGTGAATTAAAATTAGTAAAGAATAAAAATTTTATGACTATGAGCTAACTCATTAATGATGACGCTTATTAAAACAAATGAAGTTTGAGAGTCTATGTGCCCAGGGTATTAAGGTCTGAGGTTTCCAGGCTATGAATTTTAAGCCTAAACTTAACTATATTTGTTGTATTTTTTCAGAGTGTCTACTGCTCTGTAGGGGCAGCATAATTCTGCACGCATTAGAAATCATTTTAGGGTGGCCAGTAGCTCAAAAAAAAAAAAAAGTTTTTAGGAGTGTAAGTGTCCCTAACATCTAGGAGATTACAGTTTAATTAGGCAAAGTATGTATAAAAAACCTATGACACAGATTGTATATTATCTGAACTTCAACGATCATACTATGGTAAAGTTCATGAATAAAGATTACTACAAAATTTTACTTAAAGATTCTTCCACAAATTATCTGGAGATATTCAAGCATAGTTTTTCTTTTCTTATATAATATCAATTCACAAAACAACTGAAAAATTTCGTTCTGCTCCCACCCTCTTGCCCCGCATACGAATGCTTCTCGAGACCCTCCCATCGGGGTGGCACCTGGCTTTTCAGCTGTTCACAGCCAGTGGGACAGGAGCATTCTTTTTCGCAAACTTTGTACTCAAAAATTAACATAATTTGGTAAAGGCTGTTTAATGAGGGCACTTAACTCTTTCTCGCACATATACTTTAATTAATGGAAAAGAAAATGTAAGTACAGGGAGGAAGAAACTGGAAGAAAGCAGCCTGGAATCTGAGCCCCGGTAGAGTCTAGTCACTGGAGACGCCCCACTAGGCTTGTCTAATCTTCCCGTTAAACACCTGGGAGCGAAGTTCAGATTCTTCTTTGCATATTGGGCACGGCTGCGCGGAATCCCCTTGCTGGAGGGACCTCTGTTTCACCTTTTCCCATTCATCTGATGACAGTGGTAGTGGGGGCGGTTCAAAGAGGCCCAGCTTCTGTGCTGAAGTTAGAACAGTACAAAACAGGCGTTAAAATGTAGTTTAGGATGTGACACTCAAATATACTTTTGATGACATCATTCTGCAAATATTAAAGCAAAACGTGTGTACACTGTTCATCCTACCATATATGTTCAGAAAGCTGTTTCCGTGGGTGCAAACTCGTCAGTGTGTTGTTTTTATTTACAAAGAATTTCCCTTATCTAGTTCATTTTTGCTGTAATTCTGAGGTAGGCAGGACTGATTTGCAATTTTAAAGAACAGTGGAAGAATGCCATTGGTCTCATGTCTTGGCTATAGGTCTTCATTTCTCACCTAATTTATCTCCCAGCCTTCAGCACTGCGTTTTTGCAATGTAGCTTGTTTCTGCCACCAGTGATCTTTATAAAATGAATATCAATCAAGTTTTCCTTTGCTAAAAAATTCTTATAACATATAATTACGGTCAGGATCAATTTCTTACTTCAATAATATTTGGGTGCCCACCACATGTTGTACTCTGGATCAAGAGTAGAGATTATATTCCTGTGGAAAACATTTATTCTGAAAAAGCAACTAAAACAAGCTGGGGCAGAATGTGGGTGGGGACATGAGCATCAACTTCCAGGGCCCCCCACACAAGGGCCATGGCCCTGCAGGCTGTCTGAATTCAGGTTTAGAGTGGAGTTTTACAAGTGTGAAACAAGCACAGGAACAGAGTACAAAAAGGAGCTTTAAAAATGGAAAATATTATGGTAGGAATATGAAAGTCAACTGAAAGCCCAGAAAAGGAAGTTAAGATAATCTTAGAAAATAGAATAAGAAAAAGTGGGAGACGGAAAATAAGAAAACTACAGGATCAGTTTAGGAGGCCTGACAGCTGAAAGACAAGCATTCTTGAAAGAAAACAGAAAATGGAGAGTAAAAATTTTGAAGAGAACAGTTCAATCATTTACCAGAAGACGACATATTTTTTTAGTTGAGGGGCCCTGCGTGGCCCAGGACAGAGGTGTCACACCAAGTCCCATCACTGAAACTTCAGAACTATAGGGACAGAAAACATATCCTCAAAGCTTGAGACAGAGAGAGAAAGAGAGCCCTCGAATAGGTTCCGGAATCAGAAGTGCATCAGGTCATCCAGAAGAGCACAGACACAGGCGATTCTTTGATGATTGAGAAGAAAAATACCCCCATATTAAAATTCCTGATTAGCTCTCTGTCAAATGTGAGAGCAGAATAAAGACACCTCCGTGTCTGCAAGCCGGGGTGCTGGTCTCGTGGGCTCCGCCCCAGGAAGCTACTGGAGGTGCTTCACCTTGCGAGGAATGAACTAGGACACCGGCAGCCCGAGGGGAGAGGTGGTGGAACCCAAATGAGCCAGAAGGATTCAACCCACAGGATGGTGCCTAGAAGAGTGCCCTACAGCCGGTCCAGATGGGAGCAGAATGGAAGGTTCTGGAAGGAATGTCTTTACAATGATAAAATCGGAAGATTACCTACTGTATTTTATGTATTGTATTGAGAGAATATAGTTCTGGAGATTTTTTTTGGATGAATTTGGGTTTTTTTGTCCCTGTCATTAAGATACATTACAAAACCTTATTATTTAAAACAGTGAAAACGGACACAGAAACAGAAGCCCCCAGTGCCTCTACATTGCTCCCTGTCCCATATAAACATGGAAAACTTGGCATACGCTAACATAGGTGCCAGAGCTGGCCAAGAGAGGATGGGCTATGGCCTGAGGGAAGAACCTAACATTTTTCTACCAATCAGTGTTCCATACCATATGCAGAATAAACGTGCTGACATCGAAATGTGAAAGGCAAACCATAAAGGTACATAAAGGAAATGTGGGAAATGTTTGTGATCCCAGAATGTCTAAGGATTTCTTAAATCTCCCAAAGTACAAACAATAAAGAGTAAAAACTGATGGACTTACAGTAATGAGAATGAAGACTTTACTCAAAATAATACATAAAACTAGAAGATGGTGGCAGGCCAGAAGATACTCTCAGTGGCTAAATCAACAAGGGATGATGTGTCAAAAATACAAAAAGTGCCAGCAAATCAGCAGGAGGCCGAGTGTAATATATGAGGTAATAATGAAGAGCATATGATTCAACCTCATTAGTAATTAATATGCATAATTAAATTTTTTTTCAAAAAGAGCTGAAAGAATGACTCATTTGCTGTACTTTATAACATCACTTATTTTTCAAACTGGGAAGTTGTTCATGGTGTCTAACTTAAATCTCTGGGCTAAGCTGCCTATGAGGAGGCAACTCGATCATCTCCATGAACTATACATACAACAGAATATAGTCAGTAAGTCACTGTAGAGCATTATTCTAAGCCTTTGCATGCTCTTGAGCTGTGCTGTCCTCCAGAATACGAGGCAGGTCAGAGGAAAGCGTCCACTGGGCCCTGCAGTGCAGCAGCCCCTCCCCCCACCCCGTGCAGCTCGGCCCCAGGCCTCCCAGGCCTGCACGGCCACCGCTCTTCCTGCAGGACAGGACACCCAGCCAGACCTGTTTTTCATGGCCAGCACCATGTAAAAAACTTTTCTAGCTTTTCAGTTTAAAATAACTTTAGACTCGCAAAGCTTGTAAAACTAGTATACAGAACCCTCCCGCACCTGCACCCAGTTCCCCAAATGGGAACATTTCAGAGAACCCGACTTCAGCAATCAGAACAGGAAGTTAATGCTGATGAACACTGTCAATTAGTTTGTACTCCTCCCTGGATTTTGCTGTCCCGCTGATGTCCTTTTCTCTGGCCCAGATGACACCCTATTCTCAGCACCCCCCAGCCCCCCAGCCGTGTCCCAGGGGACAGATTCTCAGTCTTTGCTGGTTCTTCAGTTTGGGCCTGTCTGGTGTTTTGTCAGGGTTACCTTCAGACAGGTGTTCTGGGGGCACAGTGCAAAAGGTGTGCGACATTCTTTTCAGAGCACGGGACGTGGGGGCACAGGGCTGGCATGTGTCCCCGTGGGTGATGGTGACTAATCATGCAGGAAGGATGCTGTCTGTCCAGGGCTGCCATGGAAAAGCTATAGTTTTTCCCGTGTGATGAACAGGTACCTGGGAGGAGAAACGCTGAGGCTGTGTCCGCGGGAACCTGGGTGTTCTATTACTCATTCTCCTTATCATCACTATCTTTATTCTCTCACTTGTGTTGTCCCCATCGTGGTCTTTTAAGTTCAGTACACACCTATCTTTCTGTAAGATTATAAATTCTGTCCCAGAAAAAATTACACTATTGATCTCAACTAGATTCATTAGCTCTGAAAGCCAAAATATGAATGATGAGATTAGTTTACCTAAAGTCAATGGTGGTGGTTCTGGATCAAGAACGTATTCTTTTTCCGGGTCTCCCACTGTAGGGCCGTGTGTAGTTCTCTTAAGCCCAGTGTCTGTTACTGCTTCTGTATTTCTTAGGGGTGTGGGTCTGTTCTTTCTCTTTGGTGCCTTTGTCTTAGAATGATCTGCTATGGGAAGATTTCGAAGTTGAAGATCATGTAAAATGTGATCTTGTAAAGCAACTGCAGTGACTGCTAGATTATCTTGTTTAGTTGAATGACCCTAAAAAATAGGAAAAAAGCCCTAAGTACACAACATTATGTAATGTATCATTTAGAAGAAAACTTAGGCTTTAATACTCAACCTTGACAGCAAACTAGACTAAATCTAATTAGGAATGCTTGACCCCTTGTTACCCTAAGACGGAGCAAAGCCTAGTCTCACCATTTATGTTAATGACACAGATATGTTTTCATTTAATTACTAAGGCCTTACCTTATTGTAACATGAATAAATTCATTATGACCTATCAAAGCTGTGCATGACTGAACACATTCTATGTCACTATAATTAAATTAGCTTCCAGGCAAATCTTGCTTGCAATACCAAAGAGAATCTTGCATTTAAGTACATGCTTTTTTGGTGAAAACATAAATTGCCATGCAGCTGAGAGATGCCTGCAGTAAGTACTACAGCTGACAGTTCCTTACTGAAGCCAGGTTTGCAAACTACAGTTGGCCCTTGAACAACATGGGTTTGAACTGCTCAGATCCACTTCCATGTGTTTTTTTCAATTAATATATTGGAAAACTTTGTGGAGATCTGTGATAATTTGAAAAGACATTCTCTTTTCTCTAGCTTACTTTAAGAGTTCGGTATATAATGCATGTACAAAACATGTTAATTGACTGTTTCTGTTATCAGAAGACTTCGAGTCAACAGCAGGCTGTTACTAGTTAAGTTTTTGAGGAGTCAGGAGTTACACATGGATTTTCAATTGCACAGGGGTCACTGTCCCTAACAAGTGTTCAAGGGTCAGCTGTATATTTTTATATTTTCAAATAGCTGAATTAAAATATATTCATGAGTAAAACAATGTGTGTGTATTAAGTTTTAAAAAAGGATTGTGTACCTTATTTTTTAACATGCTGAATCAGGAAACGTCGAACATCGCCGCCTGGCTTTATCAGATTGTGTTATCATATCACATTCCTTTAATTCTTCTACTGTAAAAACATAGTCAACAGAAAGTCAAAGTTAGAGAGTCCATAAAAATTTCTATTGAAGCTTATGGGGAAGATACACTTTGAGAGTGGGGCTGATAATGCAGTCATGGGCATGCTCTCTCGAGCACCCAGATTCTGGAGGAACCCAAGCCAGTCATGACTTGATTCAGCGTTGTCCTCAAACAATTCACCAGCTAGCTGCAGGGGACATAGCACTATGAATGAGAACGACCCACTGCTTAGTATGATGGTGTTATACCTACATACAATGAAATTTCAGACTGAAAGGGTCAGAGAAGTTAAGGGAAGTATCTCCTAAAGATAGAATATTTTAACTGGGATTTGCAGGACAGAGAGGAAAATGAACATGCTACACTGCAGGTACAAGAAAAACAAAGGCCCTCAGGGACTCAGCACGTTACTGTTTCGGGGAGAAAGGGAACAATGAATGTACTGGAATGGAGGAAGAATGGCTGACGTCGGGCAGTCCAGAACACAGACGTATAGGAAATGGAGGCCACGTCTGGGTTTTTGTTGTTTGCTGGATGAGACCTTGTAACAGGTGTGACAGGGCACAGCTTGCACTTATTGTTAGGATTAACTGAGACAACCTTTGTAAGGTATCTAAAATGGGTCCTTTCACACAGACAACTCTGTAAATGGTTATTCTTCCACTCTCTTCAAAGCACCTGGAAGAAGTGAGTATCTCTTTTAGTTTTTAGACAAAGGGTGTACGCTTCATGAAGACAAGAGTCTAAAACATACTGAGATGAGGAGAAACAGTAAGTTGCTGAAATCATCTAGGATATAGTATTGTGGGCCTGACTTTAAGACTAGAAAGGAATTAAGCCAAACTACATACCTAAGGATCAAAACCTGCATTGAATTATTCCAGTAGTATAAGTTTACTAAAGAGTGAGTGCGGAGAGAAAAAACGATGGACAATGGAAACAAATTGTGAGCTCTCTAGGGCTAAAGGCTACTCAGGCCCCTTAGAAGCTGGAGTATCTTCCTTTCAATTTGGACATCTAGAGATGCATGAAAGAAATATCCAGTATTCATCATGGCAGTGCACGCTAGAGAGGTGGCTGGAGTATTTAAAATGCTGAAAGATCACTATTAGGATCTACTTTCAAAGTGCCTGTAACCTGGTAGAATATATCATACTAAAAGTCGCTTAAGAATCACAGCTTTTATCTCACGTATCAACACTGTAAACCACCGTAATTGATATAATCAAAGTAAGAACTTTAAAAAACTGTGCCGCTTGTTAAGTCCTGTAGTAACCCTGATTTTCAGAGTTGGAAACTTCAAATATTTACCCCCACGCCATTTTATGAGAAAACATATCCAGAGATTAGTGGCTCCTTCAAGAGTATATACTTAGTCTGTGAAATGGGTTAGAAACTTAATCCTCTTAACATTAAGAACTACAGTAGCAATATTATTTCTTTGAAAATTCCATTATTAACTACTTAAAAGTGGTAGTAGGGCTTGGTAATAAAAACTCATTGTGGTGCTCATGTACTCACCTACCTATCCGTCTAAGTGACCTTCTGCTAGTTATACAACACGATGATTACAGACACGCGCACCCAAGAGAAACATAACAGTTTTAAAAGACAAAACGATGCACGGTCTTGTCTTTCCCACTTAGGAACTCCTTGTTTGCACATTTTCGGTGAGATTCCACCCAGGACGGCCGGATGTACGAACACCCCGCCAGCCCGAAGGAGCCGCGCCTTCCAGCGGCTCCCTTCGCTCCACCACCGCCGGAACCCCGCCCCGTCCCGCCCCCTTCCCTCTCTCCTCCAAACATTGTCCCCGCCGCACCCACCGAGACCTGCGCCCGGGTCTCCGCGCCTCTTGCCGCTGCCTAGCAACTGCGTCCGCGGCAGTTGCGCCCGACCGCGCATGCTCAACGGCCCAGCGACGCCAGCGCACGGCACCACGTTAGGGTCGCAGTCTGCTGCTCTCCCACGCGCGCATGCTCGCCTGCCTCTCCCCGCGCACAATACTGACGCCCCAGGCACTCCTGCATCGCGCATGCTCCTCGGCTCTGCCCTGCGCGCAGTACCGACGTCTCAGCCTCCAGGCGGCGCTCTCGCTGCCCCGCGCGCGCGCTACCGCCCCGTCGCGCGCACACTCATGCCGCAGGGTAGCGGCGCGCGCCCTGAGGGGTGCTCGGAGAGCCGGGGACGGGAGTCTCCTTCCGCGCGGAGGCCACAGCACAGCTGGCTGCCGTGGGGCCACTCCCCGGCGGACCGTCTCCACGGAGGCGACCGTTCGTCCAGCGCGCACTTCCCCGAGAGCGCGTGCGGGCACGCGTGCGGTCGCGCCCCCCATTCCCCGCCCGCAACGTCTGCGCCCCGCCCCACGCCGCTGCGGCCCCGCCCCGTCGCCGCGCCCCGCCCCCGCGGCCCATCCGGCCGGCTGAGCTCCGCGGCCGCGCCTTCCAGGTCGCCGGCCTTCTCTCTTGCGGTGTCTGCTGCCGTCTCGGGCGTGCTTCCCTCCGGCCGCGCGGCCTGCGTACTCCGGGCGTCCCCGCCGGCTCCCTTTGCTCCCGTGCGCTGTGTTTCCCGCCTCCTTCGTGTTCCTTCAGGTGGTGTTGAGGCCGGTGTGACACACGTGGGTCACCTGGAAACCCGCCGGGCGCAGGGCGGAGGCTCGTGTCCCCGCTGCTGGCGGGCCGCGCGGCCCCGTCGGACCTCAGGTAAAGGCCCCGGACTGCCCTCCCCCGACGCGGCCCCGGCCTCCCCCAGCGCTTGCTGCGACCTCAACCCGCGAGGCTTCGGCCGCTGGTCGGCCGTGGCCCCGGAGCTGTCCCGGCTCATTGTTCTCATTGTTTCCTTTCTCTTAAGGATCTCAGACCTGCACTGCCAGCTGCCAGACATTCTCTGATTTTTCGGTTGTCCGGTAAGAACGTAAATCTGGTCACTAATACTCCATCACGGTCAGAGGCAGAAAGCAGAATTTTTTTAAATGACAGCGACTCACTTGTGCTATTTAAACATAAGTCTTTACTTCTATTGAAATAAACAAACTGAGAGTGCGAAGAAAACATACAAAATGCAAACAGTCCTATTTTTTTTGCTACCGTGAAAACACAGTCTAAAGAAGTTACCAGCTAAGTTGGTTGGTAATTGATCATTGATCATTAAAGGCCTAAAAGGTTAAATGTTTGGCATAACTTTGAATAAATGAATGATATTATGTCCATTAAGCAAGATAATTTTATTTCCATCTAAGATAATGTAATTTTTTTCTTAGTGGAATTAAATCACCTACGCTGGCCACTCCTGTTTGGAAGTCTGTAAAAACAGATTAAAAACAAGCCACATAGTTTTGATAAACCAAATTAAATTCATAGTGAATTTTAAGTTACTATTTTTTTCACTTAATAATTCAGAATTTCCCAGCAAATTTTGTAACCTTGATTTATGTTCCATTTGGTGATTGGCCTGGAAGAGAAGGAAGGGTCTCTGCCATTCTGAGGCTCTCCCAGTCTGTGGCTGTGTCAGGACAGCAGAGGGGAGCTGAGAAGGCTTTGGACTCACGTGCAGATGCAAGTCAGATGCGTACATCCTTGCTCGGTGTCTGAATCGCGGCAGGTTGCATTAGTCCCTGAACTTGGGTTCCTTGTACATGTGGGGGGCACTCGTTACTTCTCCCCTCTCAGCTTCCGTTCTTTGGTCCTGGGATGAAACGGATGACCAGCCTGAGGCAGGCAGAAAACCGCAGTGCCTTGGCCGCAGTGACTTAGCTGGGGGCCTAGACAGGCCGATCCAGTGAGCTTAGTATTTTTGTGGGGGCTACTGGAAAATTCCTTTACTGGAAACAAGAAAAGATGTGAAGCCGCAGCTGTGCGCGCTCTCCTGTCATCACAAGGCGTGAGCCCGCAGCTGCCGGGGGCATCCGTGAACCACAGGAGGAGGATCGTGCAGGAAACGGCAGAGATTTGGCCGGAGGCCAGGCCCCAGTGGTGCCGCTGAGGCCCCGGAGCTCGCTCGGCCTCAGCCTCTTCACTTACCTGTGTGAAGACATCCCTTTTATGCTTCAGCCAGTCGGGTCTGGTTTTCTGTTACTTGTAGCAGGAAGCGTTCGAGTGATAAATAAGTGCACTGTCACCATCTCCGGGATGTGGTGGGACTGAAAATGTCCTTTGGATGTGAACTGCTTCGTACAGTGCCTGCTATTCTTCATATCCATTTTAGAGTATTTTTTCTGAGTCTCACAAAGTTCTAAGAAAATCCCTACTTCTTAATTCCTTCCTTCCATCCAATTGTTTAAAATTTCGTGAGTTTTACTCCCCAGATTTTCTTCTTGGTTGCACAGAGTATTTCTCTGCAGGCTTTTGTTTAAACATTTCACCTTGTAATTGTTACTTTCATGACAAAAGCAGATCTGACAGGGCTGATATTTGAAGGAGATGTGATGGGGAATGTGTTCCTCATCTCTTCTCAAGATAGTGGGGTCCTGTCTTCAGACTAAGTGACATACCAGAATGCTGTGTCCTCACGTAGGGCTCAGTACCACGTAGAGCCTGCCAGTCTCACTCCCAAAACCGTGCTCTCAATGATTTATCTATATTCTGATGTTACACCATTAGCTCCTTTGTCTGTTTAAAGAGAGTCCTGAGCTATCACATGTATGCAGAGCATGTTGGCATCTTCTGAAAACCCTTGTTGAGTACGTTCTGCATGGTACCACTGTGTCCTTTGTGTAGGCACTCATGTGATTTGTTTATTGTAGAATCTCAAAATCATGAATGTTCTGGGAATAGTCCGAAGAGAAAAGGCTGAAGAAGATTGGAGAGGTAATTAGAGGTACAAGTGGATGATAGGATGCATTTTGTTGCTCTACTTAGTTGCACGGCGAAGGACTTGGGTGTGCTTAGGATGAACATGGGTGTGCTCTGTTCTCTCCTTTCCTTAAGAAAGAAGCTGTCACGTGTGCTGTGTTGAGGAGATGCATCTGTGAATGCTGTGACAAGACCAGAAGGGTGGTGGTGCCTGTGTGCCTCAGCGGGGAGGGGCACCTGGGTGGTAACCGTTTCCGGAAAGGGGACTCTTACATAGTATCTGGTCCTTGTAAGAGACAGCGCAGGGACGGTGTCCAAAGACCAGAATTGGCAGCTGCAGTTGTCTGCTTGTTGAGGATGAGGTCCTCCCAATATTACACTGGAGATAAGTTGATAATGGGAATGTACAAATTCTTTGTACGTCCTGCCCACAGGGTTAGAGTTTGTCTATTTGCATAGTTTCTGAGCACAAGGCGCCCGGGCAGGGTCAGAATGGCTCTTGGTTCAGTGTCCTACTCTGCACACACTCGGTATCTTGATGCTTTCACGTTTCTCCTTGGTTATCTACAGGATATTTCCAGTCCTACTCAGTGCATATCCTGTTCCTGCCTCTCTTCACCCAGCCCCTGACCCTGAAAGTAAACCTAGGGAGCAGAAATTAGTGGCCCAGAGTTCATCTTCTTCAATTTAGCCCTCAGTTTTAACTGGTGCCAAAACCTTTCCTTCAATTTATTTCTCTTAATCTTTAGTATTGCCTTTAGCTTTCTGCTAATGCTTCTAGATTTATTACCAGTTTCTATTCCAAACTTGTTTCCACCCAAGTCATTCTTTTTTCAAATAATTCAAAGTCCTTTACTGTATTTTGTAACATGGGAGGTTGAGCGATTGTTGGGAAATTTTCAGTCTCTCCTAGTTTCACAGCAGCCATTGCTGTAAAGACTCAGGTATACTAGTGGGACTTCTAAAATATTTTCTTTCCTAAGAATTATACTAGAGTTTTCTTTTGTTTTTAATAAAGCAATGAAAAGGAGCTTAGGATGAGTTATTTCAATTCTTCTGGCAAAATGCACTTAAATACTTTTACGTCTATGTCAAGAGGCAGGATGATCACACCGCTCCTGTTTTCATTAAATGGTGGTGGGGAAACATTAATGAAAACACCTCCTGCACTGGAGAAATGGGGAGGAATCATCTTATTTCACGTTTCTGTCTATAATGTAAGTCATGGGTATAACAAAAGGGCTCCTTTAAAAACTTGTTTTCTGAATAGAAAATGGAACAAATTTATTCTTTGTTGTTGAACAATTTATCCCTTTGGTGAAGAAGATCCTCTTGTTATGGTCTAATAACTGACATGAAAAGAATGTCCATGTGGGCTCTGCTGCGACCGCCGTGTACCAGACACTTAGAAAAAGTCTTGCCAAATCAATCTGCTTGTTCATCATGTCAGAGGAGTTTGATTGGGCAATATGAACCCTATTCTGACATTTGTGTTTTTTATGTCCTCATTGAAAGTTTTGGAAGGTGTGTAAAAGCATTACAAATATCTTTTGTTGGTTATTAGTACCAACTCTTAAATAACCTGGGAGTTAAATGTTTGCTGGTTTCTAACCACTGCTGCTAAAGTGCAACCTGTCAAAAAATTGAGTTGGTTGATGCTCTGATATGTTCACTACAAAGGAGGCTGTTTCCTGGTTGAAACCCCACAGGTTTTTTAAATTAATAGGCTTTATTTATTTAGGACAATTTACAGATAAATTAAGCAGATGGTGTAGGGAGTTCCTGTCCCATGTGGTCGACACTGCCCTGATACCACGATTAGAGGATATAAGAAAGGAAGACTGCAAACAAGCATCCCTCAGGAACATAGATGCGTTTTCCTTAACAGAATATTGCAAATAGAAGTCCAGTGTATAAAAAGAATTACATGCCATGACCAAGTGGGACTTATGCCAGTATTTAAAGCTTATTCAAAATTCAAAAACCAATCAATGTAATCCATCATATCAGCAGGCTAAAGAAGAAAAAAATCATATGGTCCTATCAATATCTGCCGAAAAGGCATTTGAGAAAATTAAACAGCCATTCCAATAAGAACTCTCAGCACACTAGAAACCGAGAACTCTCTCAACTTGATGGAAAACACTACAAAAATCGACAGCTAGTATCATACTTAATGGTATGATACCAAAAACCAGATGCTTTGCCCCTTTGTTCAGAAGCAATGCACAAATGTTCCTTCTCAGCACGCCTGTCCGGTGTCACAGTGGAAGTCCTAGCTGACACGGTAGTACAAGAAAAAGAGTGAAAGTGTACAGATTGGGAAGAAATAGAACTGCCTTTGTTCACAGATGACATGATTGTCTATGTAGAAAATCCAGCAGAACTGGCAAAAAAAATTCTGAATCAGTAAGCAGTTATGACAACAGCAGGATACAAAAGCCAGTCACTTTCCTATATACCAGCAATGAGCAAGTGGAATTTGGAATTAAAAATAGAATATCAGTGCATTAGCACCAAAGAAGAGAGAAATACTTCGGTATAAATCTAATAAAATATGTAGAAGATTTATATGAGGAAATCTACAAAATTGTTGAAAGAAGCCAGAGAAGATATAAATAAATAGATACTCCATGTCTCTGTGTAGGAAGGCTCAGTATGTTTAAGAGGTCGATTCTTCCCCACTTGTTCTATAGATTCAATATAGCCAGCAAGTTGTCTTGTGGATATTTATAAACTGATTCTAAGCTTTTTTTTTTCTTTGCTTTTTTTTAAGGAATCTTCTCTTCTTTTTCTGCCGTCTGTGGTTTTAACTGAGCATTTTATATGATTTTATTTTTCTTCTTTCTTAGTATATCAATTATACTTAAAAAAATTATTTTAGTGGCTGCCCAAGAGTTTACCATACTCATTAAAAACGCTTGAATCCATTTCCAAGTAATGCAGTGCTGCTTCACGGGCGGCGCAGGGGCTTGGTAAGTGTCCCAGCCCCTCCCTGCCACCCACCTCAGTTACCCGTGAGCTGTAAACACCAGTATATCACTGCTTTTTATTATTTTGAACAAGTGGTAGTCCGTTAGATCAGAACCTGTATCACTTACCTTTTTTCTGAAGAACTTTTAACATTTCCAGTAAGGCAAGGTCTCCTGGCAGCAGATTCCTTTAGCTTTTGTCTGAAAAAGTCTTTGTTTCTCCTTCACTTAAAACACTTGTTTAGGTAACATTCACATAGCATAAAATGAATCATTTTAAAGTGAGCAGTTCAGTGGTATTGGATGTAGTCATAATGCTGTGCAACCATCGCTTCCACCTAGTCCTGCATTTCTACAGCTCCGTGTAGAAAATAAAGTCCTGCGCCTGTTAGGCAGGTGCTCCCTGCTCCTTCTTCCCGCAGTCCCTGGCTCCCGCCAGTCTACATTCTGTTCCTATAGATTTATCTATTCTGGATATTTTATATAAACAGAATCTTGCATTGTGTAGCATTTTGTGTCCAGTTGTTTGACTCAGCATGTTTTTGAGGTTCATCCATGTTGTAGTATGTTTCAATAATTCATTACTTTCTGCAGCTAAGTAATCTGTTACATGTATGTACTACAATGTTACCCATTCATCCGTTCATGGACATTTGAATAGTGTTGGTAACACTACTGTGGATCTATACTACGTGTATTTGAGTATCTGTTTTTAATTCTTTTATGTATACACCTAGGAATGAAATTGATGGGTCATATGGTAATTCTGTGTGAACTGCCAAACTGTTTTCTATAGTGGTTGTACCATTTTACATTCCTGCCAGCAGTGGGGTTTCAGTTTCTCCACATCTTCTCTAACACTTGGCTATTTTCCTTTTTTTTCCCCATTATTGCCATCCTAATAGTTGTGAGGTGGTATCTCACTGTGATTTTGATTTGCATTTCCCTAATCACTAATGATGTCAAGCTACTTTTCATGTACTTGCTGGCCATTTGTATATTATCTTTGAAGAAGTATATACTGAAATCATTTGTTCATTTTTAAATTAATTTGTCTTTTTGTTGTTGAGTTTTAGGAGTTTTTATTAAGGTATCACTGATATACACTCTTATGAAGGTTTCACATGGAAAACATTGTGGTTACTACATTCACCCATATTATCAAGTCCCCCTCACACCCCATTGCAGTCACTGTCCAGCGTAGTAAGATGCCACAGTCACTACTTGTCTTCTCTGTGCTATACTGCCTTCCCTGTGACCCCCTTACATTATGTGTGCTGATCATAATGCCCCCTAATCCCCTCCCCACCTGCCCTCCCCCATCTCTCCCCTTTGGTAACTTCTGGTCCCTTCTTGGAGTCTGTGAGTCTGCTGCTGTTTTGTTCCTTCAGTTTTTTCTTTGTTCTTATGCTCCACAGATGAGGGAAATCATTTGGTACTTGTCTTTCTCCGCGTGGCTTATTTCACTGAGCATAATACCCTCTAGCTCAGTTCATGTTGTTGCAAATGGTAGGATTTTTTTTCTTCTTGTGGCTGAATAATATTCCATTGTGTAGATGTACCACATCTTCTTTATCCATTCATCCACTGATGGACACTTAGGTTGCTTCCATGTCTTGGCTTGGCTGTTGTAAATAGTGCTGTGATAAACATGGGGGTGCATATGTCTTTTTGAGTCTGAGAAGTTGTTTTCTTTGGGTAAATTCCTAGGAGTGGAATTCCTGGGTTAAATGGTATTTCTATTTTTAGTTTTTTTGAGGAACCTCTATATTGCTTTCCACAATCGTTGAACTATTAGGATTTCATTATATTTTCTGGATATGAAACCTTGATCGTATATGTGATTTGCAAATATTTTCCCCCATTCTCTGGGATGTCTCTTCATGCTCTTGATAGTCTACTTTGATGCACAAAAGCTTTAAATTTTGATGGGGTTCAACTTACATGCTTTCTTTTGTTGCTTGTGTTCTAGACATGTTATAGTCAAGAAATCATTGCCAAGTATGATGTTATGAAGGTTTTTCCCTGTGTTTTCTTCTAAGAGTTTTATGGTGTTAGCTCTTACAAGTGGATCTTTGATCTATTTGAAGTTAATTTTTGTGTGTGGTATAAGGCAAAAGTCCAACTTCATTCTTTTGCATGCGAATATCTATTTTTCCTAGCACCATTTTTTGAAGACTGTTCTTTCCCCATGAATGGGATTGACATTTTTGTCAAAAATAAGTTGGCCATAGATGTGAAAGTTTATTTCTTATTTCTCAATTCTATTCCATTGGTCTATTTGTCTGTCCTTATCCTAACAGTATACCAAAACCACAGATTAGATTATTGTAGTTGTGTAGTAAGTTTTGAAATTGAAAAGTATGAGATCTCCAATTTTGCTCTTCTTTTTCAAAATTGTTTTAGATATTCTGGATCCTTTGAAATTCCATGTGCATTTTAGAATGTATTTTTTTATTTCTGCAGAAACGCCATTGAGGTTTTGATAGGGGACTGTTGCAGTGAATCCATGTATCACTTGGGGTAGTGCTGTCACCTTAACAGTATTAAGCCTTCTGACCCTTGAACCTAAGATGTCTTTCCATTTATTTAGGTCTCTTTAATTTCTTGTAGCAACATTTTATAGTTTTCAGTATATAAGTCTTGCACATCAATGGTTAAATTATTCCTAAGTATTTTATTCTTTTTGATGCTACTGTAAATGGAATTGTTTTTTAAATTTCTTTTTTCAGATTGCTCATTGCCAGTGTCTCCTGTACCTTTGCAAGATAATTTCCCCAGATACAGATTTCCAGGTTACTGGGTTTTTTCCTTTCTTTCAACACTTTAAATGTTCTCCTCCACTCTTCTTGCCTGCGTGATTTCTGGAGAGAAGTCTGACTGATGGAGTCCTTGATCTCCTTTCTGTAAAGGCAAGGTGGTTTTTTTTTTTAACTCAGACATCTTTCAAGATTTCGTCTTTTGTCTTTGTTTTCTGTAGTTTGTTTATGATGTTTCTGGGTATACATTTTTGGTGTTTATTTTTCTTGATGTTCTCTGAGCTTCCTGGATGTGTGGTTTGATGTCTGTCATTAATTTTGGAGTATTCTTAGCCATCATTCATGAAGATTTCTTTTACTCCTCTCGCTCTTTCTTCTTCTGGTATTCGCATTACACATGCAAAATCTTTTGTAATTGTCTCATAGTTCTTGGATAGTTCCATTTTTTTCATTTTTTTTTTCTCTTTGAACTTCAGTTTGGGAAGTTTTATTGACACATCTCCAGGAGCACCGATTTCCTTGGCCACCAAAGGCATCCTTCATTTCTGTTTCAGTGTTTTTGACTTCTGGCATTTCCTTTTGAATCATTCTTAGCATGTCCATCTCTCTGCTTACATTGCCCATCTGTTCTTGTGTGCTGTTCACTTTTTCCATTAGTGCCACTGTCACATTAATCATAGTTTCAAACAATTCCACGTTTGGTAGTTCCCAAATCTCTGCCATATCCGAATCTAGTTCTGATGCTTGCTTTGTCTCTTCAGACACCATTTTATTTTGCCTTTTGTATGCCTTGTCATGTTTGTTGAGAGCCAGACCTGTATTGGGTAATAGGACCAGAGGTTACTAGACCTTCAGTGTGAGTTTTATTGTTACCTGACCAGAAGCTGTGCTGTGTTTCATTGCTGCTGTTGCTGTAGGTGTGAAAGCTTATCCAGTGCCCTTGTTTTTCTTTCTCCATTGTCTGTGGGTTTCCCTTGAAACTCCTTCTTACACAGATGCTGTATCACAGGTGCCTTCGTTGGGGCCCTTCCTGATTATGCTGCTGATGTGGCAAGCTGTGGGGAAGAGAAGCATCCTGTGATGTTGTGATTGGGTCTTTTTTTTTAATGGACCAGCGTCCCTGGGCTGTGACGTTTACCAGAGAGCTCTTTGGCCTTTTCTTCCCTCCCCTCTGTGAGAAGGAAGAACAGTGGGGACTCAACCCACCCATTTATCTTTTCAGCAAGAGTGTTTCCCTGAGGGTGCAAAGCCCCCTCCCACTCCCACTGCAGTGTTCACCGTGGGAACCTGGTCAGGCTCCTAGAGGTAAAGCTTGGAAAGTATGGGGGCCCCATGAGGCCGGGCCCCCTGGCTAACTCTTCAGCTCACCCACGCCCGGCCCCCGTGGTGTTCAGTGTACCTGCCAGTGCTGGCTCCCTGCTGGCGCTCCCATCTGCTGCCATGGTTCTCCGCGTTCCCCTCCCTCCAGTCTGGGGTATGGGTTCACCCTGCCACCTCAGTTCTCTGGTGGTTCTAAGAAGAGTTGTTGATTTTCAGTTCCACTTTTTTCTCATGAGGATGGAGAAGTGGTGGCTGCAAACTGTTTATATGTCAGAGTAAAAACCAGAATTTGCGGATCCAGGTAAGTTTTTCTTTTGACTCTCCTCCTGTTGTGTTACTGCCTTTTATTCCCTTCCACCGGAGACGTTTTTCTTTCCCCCTCATTACCTGCCCTTTTAGTCCTTCCACCTTTTATTATGTATGACCCCAGAATTTTTTACTTGTTCCCTTTGCACTCCGCTGCCTACTACTTACTTGTTGTATATTACACATTTCCAAACTCTTCCCTTATTTTTTTCTTTCATAAATTGTTAGTGAATCATTGAGTGATGGATTCAGATCTTTATTTGTGTTCTTTCAAATTTTGGGTTTTTTAACAAAATCACTTTTTTTGAAAAATGATAAAACCTTGTTATAAAATTTCTAACAATGTATAACTGTACAAAGAATAAAGTAAACACATGCATACATACATACTTAATATGTGTGCACACACATAAAACCCCACCACCCAAAAGTAATGGTCATGAAAATTTGGTGATTATCATTAAGCCATGTTTCCAATGCATATGGACAGATAGATAGTGAAAATTATTTTGAGATGAAGGGAATCACACTATTACATGTGTTGTAAAATAAAAAGTATTGGGTTTTGTTTTTAGATAAAATTTCTTTACTACTAATACTTTGTTTCTAAAAGATCTTTCCAAAATATAGGGAAAATCTCAGCTTTATGGTCAAACTTCTGTTTGTAAAGATAGCCCTTCCCACGTCCTCCTGTCCTCTTTGCCATCAGCATCTGTGTTAGTCTCATAAACAGAGGTCCCTGTAAACTTTTAAGACTAAGAGGCAGAGGTTGCAAAGCTCTTGTTAAACATTCCGGATTTAATGTAGCTGGTGAAAATGATGTGGTAGACTCCTTGCTAAAGCTGTTACTGATTAAAGATCTGACACAATTAGACCAGGTAGTGACTTTAGAAGAGAAAATGACTAGGATGATAGCCAGGAAGGAGCTTCAGAAGGGAGATTTACAGATTCAAAGATTAAGAGAAGCTCTTGGGGATATGTTAATGAATCTCCCAAGTCATTTGTGATGAAGGCCATGCTTTAAAAGCCTAAGTTGAATGAATGTTACGATACAGGTTTTTTTTTTGGTCTGGCATTATTTAATCATATTAGCCATAATCTTATGCTGTGATCCATGTATTTGGTTCCTGG